TTTTTTTTTTTTTTTTTTTTTTTTTTCCTCAAGACAGGGTTTCTCTGTGTAGCGCTGGTTGTCCTGGAACTCTTAGACCAGGCTGACCTCAAGCTCACAGAGATCCGCCTGCCTCTACCTACCGAATGCTGGGCTTAAAGGCATGCACCACCACCGCCTGGCATGTCCCCTGTTCTTTAACGGTATACATTTTGTCAAATTGGTCACAGGGAAGACTAACAACTTATTTGTTGGTGGTGAGTCTGTTTTCTGTGGCAGGGTCTTGCTATATAATAGCCTTGGCTGCCCTGGAACTTAGAGCCATCCTCCTGCGTCTGCGTCTGCCTCCCAGTGCTAGGGGTGTGTCACTATGCCTAGTTACCAAAACATTTTTTAAAGTTCTAAGTGTATGATTACACCATCTGATACTCCGAACCCTGACCACAAACTACTGACCCCTCCCAGAGATGGGGAACTCACTAACCAGGCCAGAGCCCATGGTTGCGGACGTCCAATCTTAAAGGGTTCCTCCTATTCACCTAAACCTCTACAGCACTCCAGTGAAGCCACACCCATTTGAGCCCCAAATTTTGATTTCAGTATCCTTTTATTTCCTTTCAACTGATCTACAGGCGCCCCCACTGTCAAAACAACCCATTCAACTTGCCAAGCCCTGGGCTGCTCCCGGAGTCTGATCTCATTTCTGTACGCTCCTTATATATTCTAAACAACACTAAAGAGGGGTCCTCTTTCCCTAATGCGGGGTGGGGGTTTGAGGGGGGTAGGGGGGTTGGGTCCTCCCAGTCCGTCTCCCAGACACACACCAGGGGGTGGGGGAGGGGCCGGGTCGCCTGAGGCGGGGCTAAGTTTAGGCTCGCTAGGGGGAGGGGGCCTCCGCAGCTGTGCTGGCACGTCCAGGCTGAGTGACAGCGCAGGAGCCAGGACTCCCAGGCTGGGGGAGGGGAACGTCCCTGCTCCTGGGCCCCAAAGCTCTCTGGCTTGAAGAGGGGACCCCATGTTCCCTCAACGTCCTCTCAAGACGTCCCCTGATCCGCCGCCCCAGCCCTGGCATGCATATCTGACAACTCTAAATACCCAGGTGGAAACCATGCCCCAGATCGCAAGAAAAAAAAGGACAAATCTGAACCCCTTTGCTGTTCCCGGACCCCGGCTCTAGGCCGCCCGACAAGCCCACCTTTACTCCCCATCTCGGCTCCGAGAGAGCGGCTGCAGACGCCCGGCTTCTGGGGATTTTGCCCACTTCAGTGAGACCCGAGGGAAAGAGCGGAGGGGAAGGGCCCCTTTGTACCCAACCAATGGCTGTCCAGAGAGGTGGGGACAACTCCCAAATTGGAACTTTGTAAATAGACAAGGAGTCGTCTTTAACCAACTGCTTGCGGTTCCTGGAGGCCCAGGCTTTTTAAACTAGGCTGAGAGTCTGTTAACAAAAGACTGAATACAGTTGGGGAAAAGTAGACCTTTTTGTTCGCTGCGAAGCCCAAGATGGCCTGCAACCCACCAAAATGCACCTGCCTAATCGTCTAGAGTGCTGGGATTTTAAGGTGTCCATTCCCCATCATGCCAAGCCTCAGTAAAAGTTTTTAGTTTCATTATGTTTTGGGTTTTTTTTGTTTGTTTGTTGTTTTTTAAGTTTTTCATTTTATTTTATATGGGCATTGGTATTTTGCCTGCACGTATCCCTGTGTGAGGATGTTGGGTCTTAGAACTGGAGTTACCAACAGGTGTGAGCTGCCACGTCGATTTAAACCTGGGTCTTTGGGAAGAGTGGACATTGCTCTTAACCTCTGAGCCATCTCTCCATCCCCCTTGGTTTTGTTTTCTTAACACAGTGTCTCAGGTAGCCCAGGCTGGCCTTGAACTCCCAATCTTCCTATCTCAGCCTCCCCAAGTGCTAGGATTAAAATCCTGAGTTGTCACAATAGACTAAACAGAACTTGCTATGTAGCTGAGGCTGAACTTGAAGCCGTAATCTTCCTGTCTCTGCCTCTCAAGTGCTGGAGTATAGGTGCGCACCACAATACTTGGTGAGAGGAAATCCATTTAATATTTTATGGCTCTTTATGTGAGTGTGCCCAGGACATGAGTTCAGGTGACAAAAGTGGCCAGAAGAGGGCGTTAGATCCCTGTAGCTGGACTTGCAGGCCGTTGGGCACCACGCCTGTTCTCTGCAAGAAAAGTCAGTGCTTGTAACAGCTAATCCATCTCTAGCCCACAAGGAAAGTTTTTGTAGAGGCCCTGGGTGTGTGTTGGGGTGGGGGTGGCTCAGTGCATAAGATCTTGCAGCACAAGCCTGGCATCCTGCGTCAGGCCTCCAGGAACCAGGGAAAGAGCTGGATAAGGTGCTGAGCATCTGTAATCCCAACAACTTCTATAATGCAATGAGAGGCCGAAACAGGAGAATTGCCTGAAAGCTCTCAGCCACCTAGCCTGGAGCAGGCAATGTAGCAACAGAAATCGGATCTTTGTGAGTTCGAGTCCAATCTGGCCTATACAGTGAGTTCTAGGACAGCAAAGCTAGGACAGCAAAACTCAAGCCCCACCCCGCCCCTAGATGCTGCCTCTACAAGGTGAAAGGTGAAGATGGACTCCCAAAAGTTGTCCTGAGAGGGCCTGGAGAGATGGCTCAGTGGGAGCACTCAGTGCTCTGCAGAGGACTTGGGTTCAGTTCCCAGCACCCACCAGGTAGCTCACAGCCCCCCTAGCTCTAGTTCCAGGTGATATGGGTCCCTCTTCTGACCTGCACAGGCACCAAGCACGCACTTGGTGCACAGATATACACGCAGGGAAAACATTTATACACCTGGAATAAAATAAACAACACCAGGCAGTTTAACCCCTTTAATCCCAGCACGTGGGAGGCAGAGACAGGTGGATCTCTGTGAGTTCAAGGCCATCCTGGTCTACAAAATGAGTTCCAGCACAGCCAGAGCTATACAGACAAACCCTGTCACCAAAAACCAAAGCTAAAATCAAAACCAAACAAAACAAAAACTGGGACAGGGTCTCACTATATAGCCTGAAATAGACGGAAGCTTACTATGTAGACTAAGGCAGCCTTAGACTCACCAAGATACACCTGCCTCTGCTGCCCAAGCGCTGAAATTTAAGGTAGATGCTGCCAGGCCTGGCCTGATATTTAAAAAAAATTTAAAAGTCCCCATGGGCACATTCAACTTCTAAGTGAAGTCCTCTGAAAAAGGGAGGATTAATTCTTTACCTCACCCAACCCAGTGCTCCATGCAGCATTCATTTCCAGTACAAAAAGCCAAGGGAGTCAGGCAGTGGTAGCGCATGTGTTTAATCCCAGCGCTTGGGGGGATAGAGACAGGCGGATCTCTGTGAGTTTGGGCCAACCTGTTCTACAGAGCAAGTTCCAGGTCAGGCTCCAGAGCTACAGAGAAATCCTGTCTTGAAAAACCAAAAAAAAAAAAAAAAAAAAAAAAAAAAACCAAAGGGGCCAGGGGCCAGGCAGTGGCCTTTAATCTTTAATCCCAGCACTCAGGAAGCACAGGAAGGTGGATTTCTGTGAGTTTGAGGCCAGCCTGGTCTACAGAGTGAATTTCAGGACAGCCAAGGCTACACGGAGAAACCCACCCTGTCTTTGAAAAACCAAAAAAGAAAAGAAAAAATTGAAAAGAGAGAAAGGAAGAAAGAAAGGAAGGAAAGAAGGAAGGAAGGAAGAAAGGAAGGAAGAAAGGAAGGAAAGAAAGAAAGAAAGGAAAGAAAGAAAGGAAAGAAAGAAAGAAAGAAAGAAAGAAAGAAAGAAAGAAAGAAAGAAAGAAAGAGCGAGCCCAATGAGTCAATGACTGGGATGGGATGGCTCTGGTGGCTGCAGGCCTGTGCTCCTAGCTGAGGCTGAGGCAGGTGGATGGAGTTCAAGGCCGTGTGGAACAAGCCCTGGAGTTAGTTACCAGTTTGCATATGCATTGTGGGGGAGAACCCCAAAACCACAGACCCTCGGGCAAAGGGGGTTTTGGGGGACCCCCTTCTCCATTGTTCTTAGGTCCTGTGCCAAGCTGATCCCGTTACACTTAAAAGTGTCAATCTCCCTAACTCTGTCTAGTTGAACAAGGTCCTCTACAGCCCAGAGGAGCCATCTGCTCACAAACCACTTACCTAGAAGGAGCGGTTTCAATATGAATTCTGATTGGTCTGTGCTATCGAGGCACTGTGCCGTGATTGGCTCCTGCTCCAGCAGTCGCCAATGCTCTTCTTCCTCGTTCAGCAGAGGTTCATCAGGGCCGGAGTTCGAATCTTGTGATCTTGATGGGGATGGAGTATGAGCCTGGGGGGTCCGGGAACTGGGGCTAGGCTGAGGAGTCAGGACCTCAAGTTGCGAACGTAGAGCCTGAGCAAGTCGGAGTTCCAGGTTCGCCTCTAGTGTCATTGAGAGAGAGAGGCCATGAGCTTTCTTCTTGGAGGTATCCTGGTGTGCCACACACCCTCCGAGCACCTCTGAGATCTCACCTTCCTTAGGCTCGATGGCCTCCAATTCATCAGGCTCCTCGTTTTCCAGTGGGGTGGAGCTGCTGGTGGCCGAATCCTCCCCGGATCCTGCACTCCGGGCAGCCCAGCCCAGCTGGTCCTCCAGCGGGTGCTCAGCCAGAGGCAGGGTGTCAGGGTCACCTCGGCGCCCCGGCTCTGGCGACTGGCTCAGGCTAGGGATGCTCTCCAAGCTGTCCCCCAGGCCGGGCTGTGGGGGTGGGTCTCGTGGTTCTGAGACTGAACGCCCCTGGGGACGGGGTCTACGGGCAACTGAGTCCCTACGGCCCCCAGAACCCACTATGCCGTCGAAGGCAATGTACGAAAAGGTCAGCTCCCTTGGGGTACCCCAGTCCTGCGATGTGGTCTCCTCCTCGTCGTCCTCTGAGAATTCCCGGGCTGTGTGTAGCTCCCGAAAATCCGAGTCGTCATTCCCTCCTGCAGTGGGAGAAGGGTTCTCAGCCTCTCCAAGCCACCCAGTCGTGAGGACCCCCCCCCCACGTCTCTCCGCTGCACTTACCTTCGGTGGAATCGGGGGTAGAAGAGGCTGTAGAAGGAGCTTCTTCTGCAATGGGAAAGGAAGATTCTCGTGGCTCGGACTGTTTAAATACACATGTGCAAGGCGCCGACCTGGCCAACCTCACTCTCTACAGTTGACCTCTGACCTCCACACACAGAATCCAGAACTCGTGGAGCACCCCCCCCACACACACACACATGGTGCATGAAGTTAATCCCAGCATTTGGGAGGCAGAGGCAGGAAGATTTCTGTGAGTTTCAAGCCAGCCTGGTCTACAAAGCGAGTTCCAGAACAGCCAGGACTACACAGGGGAACACTGTCTCAAAAATAAAATAATGAAAGAAAAAAAGATTAAAAAAAAAGAATAATCATTTAATCACAGAAGTGCACCAGTGCTGGAGGCCTGCATGGCTGGAACCAAGAGAATTTTAGAACATTTGAACACAGGACATTTTGCCTTCTCTATACAGACCATAAAACTGTAGGGACAGGGGCTGGAGAGACGGCTCAGAGATTAAGAGCATTGCCTACTCTTCCAAAGGTCCTGAGTTCAATTCCCAGCAACCACATGGTGGCTCACAACCATTTGTAATGAGGTCTGGTGCCCTCTTCTGGCCTTCAGGCATATACACAGACAGAATATTGTATATATGATAAATAAATAAATATTAAAAAAAATACTGTAGGGACATTGAGAACAGAAGAGCTAGTGCCAGGACAGGCTCCAAAGCTACAGAGAAACCCTGTCTCGAAAAACTAAAAAAATTAAAAATAAATAAATAAAAATAAAAATTAGAGACTTGGAGAGAGAACTCAGTGGTTAAGAGCACTGGCCACTCTACCAGACTTCCTGAGTTCAATTCCCAGCAACCACATGGTGGCTCACAACCATCTATAATGGGATCTGATGCCTTCTTCTGGCCTGCAGGTATATGTGCAGAGAGAATCCTCATATACATAAGATAAATAAATCTTAAAAAACCAATTAAAGACACAGAAGAGGAGAAGGATAATTCTTAGAGGCTCTGCTATGTGGCCAAGGATGTAGATCACCAGGCTGAGTGCTCACTTACAGCGAACAAAGCCCCAGGATCAATCCCCAGCATCCAATAGAGGGGGTGATGGTGCATGCCTGGTGATCCCAACTCGGGATAGGTGGAGGCAGGAGGATCAGAAGGTCAATGTTAACCTCAGATCCCTACATATACAACATATACAGTCCCAGTTCTGCCTGGGCTACAGGAAACAATATCAGCCTTCAAAGGAGGAGCCTTGGGAAGTTTCAGTTCATTCACGCATGCAACCATTATCCATTAAGTACACATTATGTGGCCGGCAATGTTCTAGGCCCTGGGGGAGCATGTTATGAACAAATTAGACAAAACTCCTGGCTTCATAAAGTTACACCCTGTGGAGGAGTCCATAAAACATGGAGTCAGACAAGGTAAGGGAGGCCGAGCGCTGCTTGACACAAGATAGTCTTCAAGGATTTTCTGATGGCAACAGATCTCAGACCCGAAGGAAGTGAATCTCAAAGATGCCTAGAGAGAAGCCTGCCAGACCGGGGTGGGGGGCACTGTGATTAGAAGAGGAATAGAGGGGTATAAAGGGATGAGTCGGGGAGAGTAAGGCTGGGGACAGGCGTGCAGGGTCTCCCCTCATAATTTTAGCTAAAGACAAGATCTTTGGACACTGGGGAGGGGAGTGAAACTAAAAATGTCCACATTCTCAAGAACTTGGGCATCTGGATACCCAAGACGTGCAAGTGGCTAGATCTGCTAGCGTCGGCATCCCCAGCTGTCAGAACCACCCTGTGTGGGACGCAGGATGGTAAACACCGACTGCTAGAGCCAATGGCTCAGAGTTGAGCAGGATCAGATGAGGGGCTTGGAACAAGAAGCCAGCCCCTCAGAGTCAGCTTGGCGCTCGGCACACAGGAGAGCCTCGAAGCCTTCGAAAATCGAAACCGGACCACCTGCCCCCACCTCATTTCCTCACCTGAGCAACCGGGAGGCCTGCCGAGGAGTGGGGTTTTCGGCAGGGTTACTACTGAATGGAAAAGCCCGCTAAAGACTCAGTAGTGTTGGCACCAACCCAAGGAGAGTGTTTTTGGGGGACAGGGGTCGGACATTCAGGGTGACATTAGAAGTGCCTTTTGGGCAGATTACGAGGGTGAGATGCGAAAATGGATGATGAAGGGAATCGAATGCTTCTCCATCCTGACTCAACCCGTCAGCTGCGGCCAGCACCAGTGCTAGGGACAGCTCCCCACGCGCCTGCTCCTTCTCGGACTGGGCGGGGCGACCCAATCCCGCGCCCCGAGAGCCCCCCAACAGGCGATCTCCATGACCCCCACCTCCGCCCCACTGCAGCGGGTTCTCCGGGTCAGGATGTCCCAGTTGCCGCCAAAGCGCGGGGTGGGAGGGGGGAGGGGAGGGGAAGGGTTCCTTTGTCTCCTTCGGCTCCTTCCCTTCAACCCCGCGGCGCGCGCCGAAGATGGAGACCCAAAGAGGACCCCACGCGGGTTTCTGCGCCCCAAACCAGGCCGGATCCTCTCCATACTCACTGCAGTGGGCGAAGACCGGCAGGACCTGCCCCATGGCCCCCCTCGGGCCTGCATCGGGACCCCCGCCCACTCCGGCCGCGCCGCCCTGGGCCTGGGGCCACGGGCGCTCATCTCCGCCGCGTCCACGACGCCGCCGCCATCCTCCTTGGCTGCTCCAGCAGCCGCCGCCGCCACTACCACCACCGCCGCCGCCGCCCTCTGCTAAGGCGCGGGAGGGCGGGGCCGTGGAAAAGCAGGCACTGCAGCGCGGGGCTCGGGGGCGGGGCCAGGAGCTGAGAGGCGGGGCTGGAGGGCATAGAGGGCGGGTCCACTATGATAAAGGGAGGGGTCTTGAGCTCGAGGGCGCGGCCTTTAGAGGAGTGGGGCGGGGCTTGAGTGGAATGAGGCTTTGGAATGAATGTCCAGAAGCGCATGGGTTGGGGGCAGATCTAGGGGTGATGGTATTGAGAGATGGTGGAAGATGAAGTTCTGGGGTAGAATCTGAGGCAAGACTTGCAGATGGCATGGAAAAGGAGGGCGGAAAAAGGGTACTCAAGCTTAAAACTTTATTTTACGCTTATTTGTGTGTGGGGATGGGGGTGTGTGTGCCATGGAGCATGCATGCGGTCAGTCTCCTCCACACACACGTAAGTTCCCAGCAAGCTTATTCTCAGTCTTCAAAGTAGGAGCCTGGGGAAGTTTCAGTCCATCCTCTCAACAATCATCTACGGGGCACGTGTCGTGAGACAGGCACTGTCCTAGGCCTCAGAGGGGTATGCGTAAACAAATTAGACAAAACTCCTGTTCTACTCTGACTCTATCACTTAGCCAACCCCTCTTCTGAGCAGCTTCGGCCAGCACTAGGTCCTGGGTTTCCTTCCTTCTGCCATGTGGATTTCAGGAATTGAATTTAGTAGATGGGGTCTGAGCTAGAGATGTGATCTTGAGAGAATAGAAAGGACCCGTAAGAGGAAGGTTATGTCGATAAACTGATCACACGTGGGAGTCGGGACAGCTTTGTTTTGTTTTTATTATGTATACAATATTCTGTCTGTGTGTATGCCTGCAGGCCAGAAGAGGGCACCAGACCCCATTACAGATTGTTGTGAGCCACCATGTGGTTGCTGGGAATTGAACTCAGGACCTTTGGAAGAGCAGGCAATGCTCTTAAGCTCTGAGCCACCTCACCAGCCCTCTTTGTTTGTTTAAGTTTTTTTTTTTTAAGACAGGAATTCTTCGTGTAGCCCTGGCTGTCCAGGAACTCACTCGGTAGACCAGGCTGGCCTTGAACTCACAGAGATCAGCCTGCCTCTGCCTCCTGAGTGCAGGGATTATAGGCATGTGCCACCACCTCCCAGTATTTTTTAAAAGGAATTACTATGACAGTTTTTTTGTTTTGTTTTGCTTTTTGTTGGGTTTTTCTTTGGGGTGGGGGGACAAGCCTACAATGGCTTTGAACTCCTGATCCTCCTGCCTCTACCTCCCAAGTGCTGGGATTACAAGCCTCTTGGCTGGGAGGCCACCTTCAACTAGCCAGTACCCTGAAGGCAAAAGCAGGAATAATCAAGAGTTCAAGGCCAGCCTCAGCTACTAGTGAAGTTTGAGTCCAGCCTGGGCTACGTGAGTACTGTTAGTATTCAGGCATCTGTACTGGCCTGTCCTTGGATATGTCCTCAGTTGCAGCAATTAAGAGCAGCACATTTGCTACTTTTCCTTATAAAAGGTGGACCTTGCCCACCTCCCATCTCTTTCTCTCTTTTCTGCCACTGTTGTCCCCAGGGACCGGTCTCGACCACCGAACCTCATTCTCTCTCCCTTTTCTCTCTTCAAGTAAACCTCCTATGTGAGCCTTGTTGTATGATGCGACTTCTCTTCACGGTGTTTTTATTTTATTTTTTTTAATATTTATTTGTTTATTATATATACAATATTCTGTCTATGTGTGTGTCTGTAGGCCAGAAGAGGGCACCAGATCTCATTACAGATGGTTGTGAGCCACCATGTGGTTGCCGGGAATCGAACTCAGGACCTCTGGAAGAGCAGGCTGTGCTCTTAACCACTGAGCCATCTCTCCAGCCCTTCACGGCATTTTTAAATTACAAGAACTTATCTCAAGAACAAGATAAAATGGTTTGGGAGCTGGCACGTGGGCCACTAAAGTGGTTGGCGCTTATGCTTGGCAATCTACGGTCTGAATGAGATCTTTCTGTTGAGGGCAAGGGTCCTAGAGTTCACTTCTCGGCCACATACCTTCCTTTTTTCTATCATTAGCTTCCTGTTTTCTAAAGTGGTCACATAAAAGCCAGGCATGGGGGGGGGGGTCAAGAGTTAGCTGGGTAGTTTAAGAGCCCAAGTTCAGTGTTAGCGAGATGGCTCAGGGGTTAATAGCACTGGCTCCTCTTCCAGAGGTCCTGAGTTCAATTCCCAGCACCACTTGGTGACTCATAACCCTCTGTATGAGATCTGGTGCCCTCTTCTGGTGTGCAGACATACATGCAGACAGAACACTAAATACATAATAAATCAATAAATCTTAAAAAACAAATAATCCAAGTTCAATTCCCAGCACCCACATGGCAGCTCACAACAGTTATGCAAATCAAGAACTCAAGTCCTGGAGGATCTGACACCCTTTTCTGACCTCCAAGCATACATATGGTACATACATGTACGCAAGACACCCATAAATTAATCCAAAAATAAATTACAAGAAAAAAGCCACGAGCATTCAAAAGGCAGAGGCAGGCAGGCCTGCACGTTTGAGAGCCTCATGTATGAAGCGATTTTCCAAGCCATCTGTGGCTACATAGTAAGACCTGATAATAATAATAATAATAAGTCATGTAAAATAGTGTATGTGGCCTGTGGTAGGGCTCAGGGGTAAAGCGATTGCTGCCAAGCCTGATGACTTGAGTTCGATCCCCAGGATCAACAAGGTGGAACCGACTCTCACAAGTTGCCCTCTGACCTCCACACACATTAAATGAGTGTGATAAGTTTTCAAATAATGTGTTACATCTGGAAGCAGAATGCAAATAGTTTGCTCTTATCGTCCCACTCCCAACCCAGCACTTGACCCAGGCACTAAGCTCCTGTTTTTGAGCTTTTGAAAGTGTGAGAAAGAAGAAACACATGAATGCACCTCTTAGTGAGCCGACTTCAGGCCAGGTCAAGGGATAGGAGAGAGATTTACCTGGTTTAAAGAAGAGATTAGGGGAGGTGGGGCGGGGGGAGGGGGGACCGGACACTGGACAAAGGCGGTGAGAGGATGGAACCTTCCTGACCCCGCGGCAGGAGAATGGCGGCCTTTGCCCGCCTGCTGGAGCGTCTCGGGTGGTTCGCTCGAGCTCAAGAGGCAGCAGAGCAGGAGACAGAGGTGGAACACAAGGTCCCCGGCGAGCCTGGGGGTCTCCTGGAGTCGCCCCGATGCTCGCAGAGGCTACATGGGGGTGCGGCGGCTGCGCTCGGTCTGCGCTTCGGGGCGAGTGCAGTGCAGGGCTGGCGCGCGCGCATGGAGGACGCGCACTGCGCTCGGCTGGCTTTGCCTGGGCTGCCGTCGGGTTGGGCTTTTTTCGCAGTCCTGGATGGCCACGGGGGAGCGCGAGCTGCACGCTTCGGAGCGCGCCACCTCCCAGGTCACGTGCTGGGGGACCTGGGTCCCGCGCCCCGGGAGCCGGAGGAAGTGCGCCAGGCTCTGCGTAGCGCCTTCCTCCGCACAGATGCGCATCTGCGCGCGCTCTGGCCCCTCAACGACCCCGGCGGCTCGACGGCAGTAGTACTGCTCGTGTCCCCGCGCTTTCTTTACCTGGCGCATTGCGGGGACTCGCGAGCTCTGCTGAGCCGATCGGGCTCTATGGCTTTCTGTACCGAGGACCATCGTCCTCACCGGCCTCGGGAACGCGAGCGTATCCATGACGCTGGTGGCACCGTTCGTCGCCGGCGCGTTGAGGGCTCCCTGGCCGTGTCCCGAGCCCTAGGCGACTTCGCCTTCAAACAGGCATCCGGGAGGCCTCCTGAGCTGCAGCTCGTGTCCGCTGAGCCCGAGGTGGCTGCGCTGGCACGCCAGGCCGAGGACGAGTTCGTGCTCCTGGCCTCCGATGGCGTGTGGGACGCCCTGTCTGGTGCGGACCTGGTGGGGCTGGTGGCGTCGCGCCTCCGTCTGGGCTTGGCGCCAGAGCAACTCTGTGCTCAGCTGTTGGACACGTGTCTATTCAAGGTCCTGGGGCCACTGCATGTGGGGAGGAGGGGTCTTTTATGATAAGGGGTGGGGCCGAGCTAGAGGGTGTACTAAGGGGCTTGGGATCCAGAGCAAGGATGCTTCGAACCAGTGATGGAGCATAGTACTTAGGCACCGATAGCTAAGTGGCAGGGATTTAAGAGAAGGGGCGTGGCCTCTAAGAATAGAGTCCAAGCTAGGATTTCAGGCCCTCCTGAGATGTGTCCGAAATAGGAAGATCCCCTTAAATAGGAAGAATTTAAAAGACTTTAGACAGTCTTTTTTAAAATTTAATTTATTTAATTGCACTACATACTGTATTCTGTGTGCGTGTTCATACAACATCACGTGTGTAGGTCAAAGAACATCTTATATTAGTCAGTTCTCTCCTTCCATCATATGGGTCCTGGGGATCGTCTTTTCCCACTGACATCTTGCTGGTTCGTGGCTGCTTTCTTTAATAAAGCGTGATGGCTACGATCTATAATGGGAATGGTCCAAGAGATGGGTCCGAATGGAAGCGAGAGCTTGGATGAAATAGTACGATTGGCGAAGGGGACTCCCAACACCAGGATTGCTGGGAAAGCCATGGTCTCAAAGGCGTGGAACCCTGGGAAGGTTTCTGACTCTCCCATGAGGCTTCTCTTTCTTCATCTTATCCAGGGAAGTTTGGATAACATGACTTGCATGGTGGTCTGCTTCCCAGGGGCCCCCAGGCCTTGTGAGGAGGCAATCAGAAGGGAGATGGCTTTAGACGCAGCCCTGAGCCACAAAGTTGCCGGTGAGCAGTCTTCAAATGGCCAGTGGGAGGGACGGTTGGCAAATATGGACTCTCTACTCACCTCCTCCTCAGAGCTGTATTTCTCTGCTCAGGAACCCCCACGCCTAAACACAGTTTTCAGGACCCTGGCGTCAGAGGACATCCCAGGCTTGCCTCCCGGAGGAGGGCTCCATAGCAAGTGAGTTGGAGTGAGGGGGTGGGGGTGGGGATGAGGCAGGGTGACAGGACCGGATCTCCTCTTCAGGGCTTCCCTATGCTCTCTAGGGCCACTGTCATTGCCGAAGCTTACTCCAAACTCCGTCAGACCTCAGAGGAATGTCAAGAGGTAAGGCTCTGTCTCTTTGGGTCCCTCCTCAACCTGTGCTACAACCCTGCCTGCTGGCCACACCCCTCCCACTCTGGCAAGGACATCGCCACCAAGCTCTGGCTCTGACCCTAGTCTAGACCTGTGCTGTTGTTTTAATATTTTTTGTAAGTTTTACCCTTTTTATTTATGTGTGTTAGGGGTGTATATATGTGGGTGTGCGTGCCACGTTGCAGTTATGGAGACCTAAGAACTACCCACTGGGGTCAGTACTCTCCTTCTACCATGTGGATCCCAGGAACTGACCTCAGATCATTAGGCGTGGAGACAATTGTTTTTGCCTGATAAGCAGTCTCACAGCCCCTTTAAATTTTGGAGGGGTATTTTTTAAATTTAAGACAAGCATAGTGTCACAGGCCTTTAATCCCAGCACTTGGAGGCAGGGGTATCTCTGTGAGTTTGAGGCCAGCCTGGTCTACAGAGCTAGTTCCAGGACAACCAGGGCTACACAGTGAGACATTGTCTCAAAAAAAAAAAAAAAAGATAAAAAATAAATCCAAAAATAATCAATTAATAAATAAACTAAAGGGCCATATGTATATATGGACCGGTGGTGGAATACTTCCCTAAAATGTCCAAGGCCCTTGGTTCACTCCTCAGTGCTTCAAAAACAACAGATAAGGGCAGACGAGATGCTCAGTGGGTCACAGTACCTACTGCTCTTCCAGAGGAGCCCTGGACCACAGCTGCAGCTCCCACACTCCCAAGTGAGGAACACAGGGGAGTGAGTTGAAGTCACCCTGGAAGACATGTGACCCTGTTTTTAAAAAAATGAAAGAAAGAAAAAGAAGGGGGAGGGTTCTGCCGCTTCAGTGGCCTCTGCACACATGAAATGTACAAATGCAAAACACCCATATACTTAACATTCTATTTATTTATTTATTTTGGTTTTTTCGAGACAGGGTTTCTCTGTAGCTATGGAGACTGTCCTGGAACTAGCTCTTGTAGACCAGGCTGGCCTCGAACTCACAGAGATCTGCCTGCCTCTGCCTCCCGAGTGCTGGAATTAAAGACATGCACCACCACCACCCAGCAAAATTCAAATTTTTTTTCATTTTTAAGAAGAAAAACAAAATGGGGTGGAGGAGGCTTCTAGAAGGCTGAGGGGGGCACTGACAGGCAGCTTTACCCTCCCCCACGGTTTGTCTTACAGAAGAGGTGAGATGATGTGGAAACCACCAGCACTTATCCAACTCTTGACTTGAACTCAGGCCTGACAACGGCCATCCTCTGGGGACCATCTGCATAGCTCAGGGGAAATCTGTGCTTCCCTACATGAGAGGCAGAGGAAGGACGGCCAGCGTGGAGGAACCTAGAATCTTCATTTCCCCTCTCGTACTTCCCCCACACGAGTCTCATGAGGGGGAACTCCACTGTCACCCAACAGTGACAAAGGAAAAAAAAAAGCTGAACGTGGTTCCTTTTTTTTCACCCTTAATACTTAAATCCAAACAGATCTTAAGTGATTCGTGTATAACAGTCTTTCTGTTTTTTTAAAACCTGTTCTACAAGGAGGTGGTAAGAGATCTGAATATTAAATTTTTTGAATCAATAAAGCAGTTCCAAGTGCATTCCCGTTTTTTTTTTTGTTTTCTTTTAATTATTCCTATTTGTTTTGTGTTTATGTATGTGTGGAAGCGCATGCCATGGCAGGCACATGGCAGTGAAAGGATGCCTTTGAGGAGCTGGTTCTGGGGATGAACTCAGGTCCTCAGATTGGCAACTTGCTTTTGTTGTTTTCTTTTTTTACCCCCCTCTGTTTCCCTTTCAGGCATTTGTTTATTTTTCCGTATAGGTGCGTTTTGCCTGCATTTATCGACACGTATTGCATGTGTGCCTTGTGCCGGCAGAGGCCAGAAGAGGGCATCAGATCCCCTCTGACTGGATTTACATAGCTTTGGGAACTGTACCAGGATGCTAGGAACCAAACCAAATTCCTCTGCAAGAGCAGTAAGTTCTCTTCTTTCTCTTCTTTGCAGAGCCATCTTGCTGGCGATCCTTTAGTTTTTGTTTTGACCATGTTGCCCAGGAGAACCTTGAACCAGAAACCTTCCTGCCTTGACCTCTCAGGTGCTGAGGCCACAGGAACGCACCGCTTCTTCCAGTTCCATGTTTTCTTTTCTCCTTCTTTCTTTCTTTTTTTAATTTTTTATTTTTGTTTTTCAAGACAGGGTTTCTGTATAGCTTTAGAGCCTGTCCTGAAACTCGCACTGTAGACCAGAGATCCACCTGTCTCTATACCTCCTAAGTGCTGGGATTAAAGACAAGGCATGTGCCACCACCATCTGGCTCAGCTCCACATTTTCTTGAAAAAAGTGGCTTGTTGCCAGGCACGATGGCACCAGTTTGTGATTCCAGTACTTCCAGGATTGATGCAAAGATGCTCCAGGAACTCAAGACCCTCGCTAGCCACATGTGGAGTTTGAATTGCACGAGACCCTATCAAGAAAAAAAAAAAGTCGGGGAGGCTCACTGGTTAAGAGTGCTTGCTGCACAGTCATGAATGAGGACCTGAGTTTGAATTCACACAAGCAGACACCCTGAAAATGCCTGTAACTCCAGCTCCAAGAGATCTGACACCCTGTCTGACCTCCATAAGCGAGCAGGTGCATGCACCACCACACACTCCTGTATTTACGCCCGATAAATCAGTCAATTAAATTAAAAATTAAAAAGTGCACGCCTTTAATCCTAGCACTCTGAAGGCAGAAGCAGGTGGATCTGTGAGTTCGAGGTCAGCCTGGCCTACAGAGTGAGTTCCAGGACAGCCACCCTGTCTACATAAGTAGAGACACCCTGTCTCAGAAACAAAACAAAAAAGTGATTTGCTTAGTCCCTGGTCAGCAAATGTGCAGTGAGCAAGTGCTGTCTCATCAAACCCCATCCATAGCTGAGAGCCAGCCCAGTGCACTGAGATCAGGAGGCCCAGTGCAGCCAACTACCCTGTTTGGGGAGACAGCACACAAGGGGACTAAAAAGTAGAGTCATCAGGAAACAATACAGGGAATAAGAGGAGAAAATGACCAAGGAGGTTCACTTGACATTAATTTTTTTTTTCTCAAAATCTTGGGCTGGGTAGATGGCTCAGCAGATACCACCGAGACTGACACCCGAGTCTGATAACCCGGAACCCATGTGGTGGAAGTCAGAGGATGACTTGTGGGCATTGATTCTCTCCTTCCACCATGTTGGTCCCAGGAATTGGACTCATATCCTTGAGGTCAGCGGCAAGTATATTTACCTGTTGAGCCATCTCTGTGGTACTGATTTTATATTCTAAAGGTGCTGTAAGAAAAACATGTGAGCCCCGGGAGGTGGTGATGCAATCCTTTAAATCCCAGCACTCGGGAGGCAGAGGCAGGTAGACCTCTGTGAGTTTGAGGCCAGCCTGGTCTATAAGAGCTAGTTCCAGAACAGCAAGGCTGATTATACAGAAGCACCTTGCCTTGCAAAACAAAAAACGGCTCAGTGGTTAAGAGGCTGCTCTTCCAGAGGACCTGGGTTCAATTGTGGCAGCTCAGAGCTGTCTGTAACTCCACGATCTGACACCCTCACACAGACATACAAGCAGGCAAAATGCCAACGTACAGAACAGTAAATAAATTATTTTTGAAAAGGCGACCAATAAAAAAGATGCTTGGGGCTGAGCATGTATCTGAGTGGTGTCGTCTTGTTTCATGAGCAGAAGGCTTGGGCTGTGTCTCCCAGAAGTGCTGCGTGCACACACAAGTGGACCAAGACTATGCCTACTATGCTTAAAGGAATTCCACCGGGACTTTTTGTGTGCACCCGTCCGTGTGTGCAAGTGGCCGTGTGCAAGCTTGTGTGGTTAGAGGTCAGTCACTGCAGGAACATTTTCCTTGACTTATTTTAGAGACAGCGACTTTCCAAAGCTGGATGTCAATGATTCAGTTGGCCAATGAAGCACAGGGATCTTCCAAGTCCTGCTGGTCCAGGGCTGAGGGGTTAAGAGCTCTACTTTTACATGGGTGCTGTGGACCCGACTAGTCCTCGGGATGGCAGAGCAGGCACTTCACAGTCTGATCCGTCTCGCCAGCCCTGCTAATGAGACTTTCATAGAGAAAGTGTGCTAGCTCTTGCTACGGTGCAGGTGACACCGAGCTTGGCCTTTTCCACTTCACAGATGGGCAAACGGGAACTCACATGCAACCGGGTTCTCCTTCGGTTTTAACTGTTGTCCCAGGATGGCCTCTAATTCACTGAGATCTGTTTTTGCCTCTTCCTCCTGAGAGCCAGAATCAAAGGTGTAAAACTGGCTTATTTGTGTTTTATATTTTCAAAAGATTTACTTGTATGAATTCTAATTACATATGTGTGTGGAGGGGAGCGCGCGTGTGTTTGTCTGTGTGGGGTATGTGCACATGAGTGCAGTGCCCTGGAAGGGCAGAGACCTAGGATACCCTAGAACTGGAATTACAGGCAGTTATGAATCTCGTGAGTGCTGAGAATTGAACTTGGGTCCTATGAAAGAGTAGCAATTGTTTGTAACTGCTGAGCCATCCCCACACCCGTTTTGTGTTCTTAAATATGCAACTTCAGATGACTTTGAAGTCACTCTACAACCCTTTGAGTTGGCCGACCCGCGATTCTCCTGCCTCTGTCTCCCGGTTCGTGGCACGACAGCTAGCTGACTAGATTTTTCAGTAGACAATTAGAAGAGTTTGGCGTGAATGAAAGAGGTTCTTGCAGGTGAAGGCCAGCAAGGAGCGAGCTACGAGGAAATGGACTGGCTAAAGGCCACATGGGTTTGATTCTCCGTGAGTCATCGGAGACCCAAACAAGACTATCATAGGCTGAACCCATTCCCCACCTCCATGCCTCAATTTCCCAATTTGTAAGGCTTTTCTGGTGCTTCCCAGAGGTTAACGCCTTTCACCCTGCCAGGTGGAGCTCTATGGGAGGGGCGTGTCCATATGGTGATGATGTAACCCTGGGTGGGGCCTAAGGGACTCACTGCGGAAGCCTTGGAGGGTGTCTTGGCTCGACTTAGCCTGGGCGTGTGGGGGGAGGGGTCCTCAAGAGGAGGGTCTTTGGGCCTCTGAGCCTACGAGATTGCTGGGACGATCCTACTGTCTTCCGTGGGTGGAACTAAACAGTAGCTAAGCACCAGTGGGGAGCAGATTAGGGGTCCCATCCCTACTCCTGTGCACCTAGTCGATCCCCACCTTCACCCCCGCCCCCACCCCAGCCGCGACCCGGCGGCGGTGAGTCAGCGGCCCCGCCGCGCCCCCTCGCTCACTTCCTCCACACCTTCCCCGGGAGGGTGGGGGGCGGCGAGGGGTGGGGCCCGGCCTGAGAAGCGAGACCTGGGGAACACGGGACTTGCCAAAGTGTTACTTAAAGGTAGAAATTGAAGAGATCCCTTGCTTAACCAGGGAGCCTCCCCGCCCCCACCCCAAACTGAGCAGAAGTCCACGGAGCGAGCAAGACGCGAAAACCTGCACCCCCAGATCTATACCTAAGAATTCAATAGTGGAGACAGCTAGAGATCAAAGAAAGGCCCCTTCTCTTCCATCACACTTCCCATTCCAACTCGGGGGTGAGGCTCAGGGAGCACCCCCACGCCACCAGGCTAGGGAAGGAGTGCAATTGCGGAAGCCGAAGGTTCCGCGTTGCCTTTTAAACGCTCTCCATCCCCCGCCTGGAGGTGTCCACGGCCCCTTTAAGGCGCGGGGCATTGTGGGTGCGGGGAGTGGAATTTTGGAACGAAATGTAGCAAAGAGAGTACAGTAGTAAGAGTAACCGCGAAGGTGCTGTCGGCCGAGGGGGTGCGCCGGAGAGGTCCGGACTCTCCACCCGGCTTTCCAACGCTGGGGATCTCAGTCCAGCAGAGCACCAGAGGGAGGAGGCGCCCGAGGACCCGCCCCGGCTCGGTCCACGTTCTCCCCAGGAAGCTGGACTCTATGGGGCGGGACCCCGAGAGAGACTGAGCAGAACCTGGAGCCAGCCCCGCACCCCTGCACTTCTAATCAGGGGCGCCCCGGGAGCACTCCCCGTGGGCGCGCCGCCCGCCCTCCGCGCAGCCATGAGGTGAGCCCCGAACCCCCCAGTCCGGTTCCATGCCAGCTCGGCGCCCGCCTTTGTCCCCCTCACCCCAGCTCGTCCAGGGCTGGATTTAGGGGACACCGGGCTTTGGGCGTCCCAACTCTGAGCCGATTGCCTCCCGGAGCGATCTGTAAATATCGACACCCACTTTCTCCGCACTACTCCCCAAAGGCTTGAGGCGGCGCCGGCTGAGGTTCTCCTGGTGGCTTTCAGGTTTAGGGACGCTCTCGGGACTCAGAATTTGAAGACTTTTGAGGGAGCACCTCCGAGTTGGACGATAGGTAGAACCATCCGGTTTAAGCGGGATTCAGAGTTACCGCCCCAAACTCAAGTCCAGGTCTTGGGGAGGTTGTGGGAGGCTGCCTTGAGAACCGAGCCCTGAAACTCTGAACCTCGGGTAGTGGTTGTGGTCTTCGGACCCCCACGTCTGGAGCGCTGGATGAACGTCCTGGAACGGGACCGCGGTCCTTAACTTCGGGGTTACTTCTTGATGCCTCTAAATTTGGGGGACACGGAGATTCTCCTATGGAGGGGGTTTGCGAATCTGACCCACGGGCCTGGAGGGTCTGGATGGGACTTCGCTCCTGCTAGGTACCCCAGCTGGGTCCTAGGGCCCGGTAGCAGTCCAGGCCCAGGGCGGCTCTGCCCCCCCCCCCTTGCACCTGGTGGCTCGGGTAGGAGGGGGCGCGGCAGCTGGGGGAGGGGGGCCTTTGTCTTCCTGACTCACCTGTCGAGACAGCTGGTGTGGGGGGCGGGCCCCCGAGTGAGCACTGTGGGCCAGCTGCTTTCCCCACATCACGGCCCCTCCCCCGGGGCTCTCAATGTCGCCCGGTGTCACCCCCCTTCCCCAAGCCTTGGGATTGGAGGAGGGGGCGCTGGAAAGCGTCAAGGTCACAGCCTTCTCCCTCAGGAACCCAAGCTTAGCAGCTTCTTCCAGCCCTCTTCTCTGGAATTTAATCCTGGGGGTGAGGGAGACCTAGGGATTTATTTATTTATTTTTTTAAAGACTTCTCTGGACGTGCCCTGAACTCCAGGGCTCACCTGAGGGCGGGGCCTGGGCCGGCAGAGGCCTCCCCTCAGCGCCCCCATAATCTCTCCCTTGGGGCTACATCTTGACAATACTATCTCCCTTCCTCCACTTTGGCTGGGACTTCCTGCCCCAAAGCCCCTAGCTAGGGGAGGAGTCTCCTGGGGACAGTTTGGGCTTAACCCCCCGTGTGCACATCCTCCACTCTTGCCCTCTGACATCAGGGTGACTTTCCTGTCTAGGACCCTGAGCGAGGACCCCTCCCACCCTCACACGTCTGTTCCTTGGTATGTGGGAGTGTTGGGATCTGGAGCTCGAAGGGACGTCGAGACACCCTGGAGACTTCCTGTCTGTCCTTCCCTCCCCCACGGGAGTGCTGTCCCCCGAAAGGGGGTCAGTTCCTTCACTCGTTCCCCCCCCTTCTCCTGCTGCCCCCAGTCCCGCCCCTCCCCCACCCGTTTCCGGTCCCAGGCCCGGTGGAAGGCGGATGGCGGATGTCCGAGTTAGTGCCGCCTCACTCGCTGAGACCTTAAAAGGGCAGGAGCAACGTCTAGGCCGGCCCCCTGCACTCCCACCCCCACCCCCGGCCCTCCCGAAGCCCGCCCCCATCTGGCTGTGACAAACCTCCCTCCCCTGAGGGTGGAGGGTCCTGGGCTGTCACTTTAATCCTAGGACAACTAGGAGTAAAAGAAAGAGTGCAGGAGACCCAAACCCTATTTTCAGCTGGGTAAACTGAGGCCCGGAGACTGAGAAACCTGAGTCCAGGGTCCTCAAAGGTTCTTGGGCTGCGTTGGGGAAGAGGGCAGACTGGTTTGACTGGGGACAGCCCTGGGGGCAGTGGGAAGGGAGGTAGCTGAGATGGAAAATTACAAGATATGGTTCTTTTTCTCCCAGTTTGACAAATATTTGTCGAGTGTCTGCTGCATCCGGGAGCTGGAAAGGCAGAGCAGGGGTCAGAGGTCTGAAGGCTCTTGGGCAGAGAGAGTTCTAAAAGCATTTGGGTTCATTCCTTTCCCCTTGCAATAACAGAAGCAGCAACTGTTATTTTATTTTGAAGTGATGAGGCGGGTTCAGCCAGGCATCTCTGTGCCAGGCGCTGTAATTTGGGTCTGATTCCATTTTAAACCTCCACCATAGTTAAGTGTGATGCTAGTGCAAGTTTGTGTCCTGGTCTTGCTCCCATTTTACAGGTAGTAAAAAGGAGGCACAGAGACAGACATTAAGGAAATGACTTATTAAAGTTTAACAGTTTGGGAGTTCAGTGCGGTGACTCATGCTTGTAACGGTAGCACTTGGAGCTACCACTTGGAGGGCCGCGTGGGCTACTGAGTCCCTGTATCAAAAGTAAATATGTAAAAATCAAAGAGTTTGGTGGTGGTAACATTTGAATTTGTGCCCAGGACTGTCTAAGTCTAGTGGTATTATAGAAAAAGGAAAATAGAATCTTTGTGCAGGGCTTTTGTTTGTTTTGTTTTTGTACAAATAACACACTTTTACGATTAAAAAACATTTTCCCCCAAAGTCATCCTGTGCTATGTAGCAAGTTTGAGGTGAGCGTGGGCTACAGAGGAAGTAGGTTCTAGGTCAGTCTGGGCTGCACCGAGCCTGTGTCAATAAATCAACCGCCTTTACCATCCTTTTCACCTAGGAGAAACTGGGGGAGGCCTGGACGGAGGGAGTAAATGAACCCCCCCAAAACTCCATACAGAATGTGACCTGCTTCAGGATGGCGTGAGTGTGCGTGCGTGTGTGTGTGTGTGTGTGTGTGTGTGTGTGTGTGTGAAGTTTCATGGTTTTGGGGGTTGTAAGCAGCAAAGGGAAGGGCCAGACTGAATGAGGAAGGTGCCCGCCCTTGGTCACCTCTGTCCCCTCCCCCTTAGGACTCCCAGCTGTCAAGGGGGGGTTCAGTTGTAGGTTTGTGGGTTCAGGCCTCTGTTGACCCCTTTATTTTTATGACAGACTCAGTGAGTTGGGGATTCTCGGGCTGGAAACTGAACTTAGACGGAGGGTGGGATCAGAGACTGGCTGCCCAGGGAGGACAGAGACCTCAAAAGAAATTGCAGCCAGTCACCCTGCCCTCCTCCGTCCATGCCGAGTTCCTAGCTGTGCAATTTTCTGTTCTGATTTTTTTTTAATAGAAAAAAAAAGTTGTTTGTTTTTACATTTATTTATTTTGGTGAGGGTGTGTGTGTGTGTGAGGGGTGTGGAATTTAGAAACAGCTATGGGAGTCGCGTCTCCTTCCATCCACCATGTGGCTGCTGGGAATCTAACTCCGGTCCTCAGTCATCGGGGTTGGCAGCAGTCACCTTTACCACTGAGCCATCTTTCCAGCTTTCCACCTCCCAAGACCTGGGGTCACAGGTGTGTTCCTCTTGTGGGGATTTTCCATTGCAGCTCCTTGTGGGTCCAGAGTCTCGCCATGTGGCCTAGGCTGACTGACTTGAAGCCATACAAAGATCCTCCTGCCTCTGCCTCCCAGAACAAGATCCCAGGCTTATGCTGTCTAGCCCAGAATAGTTAGCCCTCCTTTATTTCCTCTGCTGAGACATCGGGTCCCCAAGGATCCCTTTGGCTCCCTTTGCATCCTGAGGACCCGGAATGGCACTGGAGCTTAGGAGGACTCAGCAGTTACAAAGAGCAGACTCCACGGTAGCTGCTGACGTCCGGAGGTCAGCGACAGCGCTGTTCCCACCGATGAGCTGGACTGGGGCTAGCCTGTGACACATGATGAAATGCAGACACAGAGAGGTGAAGACACTTGGCAGAGGTCACACAGCCAGGGAGAGAGCAAGTGAGCCTGGGAGGCTCCCATTTGAACCAACATTTAACCTCATTGAAAGATGAGAAAACAGTGGGGGTTGATATTTTTACAAAGGCAAAGGACTGTGGCTCAAAGGGGTGCTGCTTCAAAAAAAAAAAAAGGTGGCAGCTGACACAGGCAGCTTCTGAGGTGACAAGGGCCTGAGAGGAAAACACACTTCCAAATTTTCATGCTTTTGACCTGATTCACTATTTCTTAACCTTTTCTGTTTTAAGCACTTTTTTTTTTCTCGAGGCAGGGTTTCTCTGTATAACAGCCCCGGCTGCACTGGTCCACCTGCCTCTGTCTCCGGAGTACAGGAATTAAAGGCTGCACCACCCCTGCCTGGCCTGCTTGTTTTTTGTTGTTTTCTCTTAAGGTTGTGAGCCACATGTGGGTGCTGGGAATTGAACTCAGGACCTCAGAAGAGCAGCCAGTGCTCTAAACCTTTGAGCCATCTCTCCAGCTCCTGCCAGCCTGTTTTAAGGATTTTTTTTTTAAAAAATCATTTATTTTGATCTTGGTTGTGTGATGGTGAGAGGAAAACTTGTGGGAGGCCGTCCGTTCTCCCTTTCCGCCAGTGTGTGCTTCCGGGATTGAACTCGAGTCCTGAGGCTTGGACCATCGTAGTCTGGTGTTTATCTGTGACAGGGTGGCACCGTGTAGCACAGGCTGGCCTCACACTTGAGATTTTCCTTTGCCTCTGCCTCCTGAGTGCTGGGGTGACGAAGGATTCAGGCCCCATCCAGCTGAGGCTGGTTCTGGTTTTTGTTTTTATCTTGGGCTTGAGCTGCAAGGGTGTCTCCAGCCTGCCAAGCAGGAAAGATTGCTGGTGCAGATGAGGTGGAGGGCTTCTGGCGGGACGCCACCTAGAAGAGCCGGGGATGAGCCAGGGGGGAGGGGATGCCGGAACAGAATGAAGGTTACAGAGCACAGGGGACCTCCCTTGGAGCCACAGCGGACCTGGCTTTGGAGGATGAGGACACTGAGATTGGGTCTTAACAGGGCCCGGGTCCTTCTATAAGGTCATCCTTAAAGACTCGTTGAGGGTTACCCAGCCAGCAGTGTTCTCTCTGGACCAGAGGACCACCAGGGAGGCCAAAGTGCACCTGGGTGGGGCAGTGATAACCTGGGCATCTGGCCAGAGTCTGCCCTGGGTGTGGGTGGCAGGTGTGGGTGAGGCTTTAACCCTGCCTTGCCAAGGGTGCCTGAGCCAGAAACAGTCCCTGAAGCTATGCTTGTTTCAGATGACGCCTGTAATGTGCGTAGGACACACAGCTCTGTGGTTAAGACTAGGACCTGGGAGACATCTGGCTTCAGAGCCTCGCTCTGCCACACAGGGGCTGTGTGACTATGGGTGGGATACGCAACCTCTCTGGGCCCTCTCCTAGAGGAACAGCATCCATCCTGAAGGGTTGCAGGGGCACAGAGTGAGACTCGGGAAGGCTCAAAGCCTGGGCCCGGCTAAAGTGCTGGGGATAGCGGAGCAGCATACATGCAAAGTTGGGTGCTAGGTGCAGTCTGCAGTGCCGGGGCCTGCCAAGGGGCTTTCCCTGCTGAACTCTACCGCATGGCATCAGACCCCAGACCCGCCATTGTGGGATGCAGTTTCTCTCCCCTGGAAACCACAAACTTCTTCTTTTGAGGAAAAAGCCTGGTGGGGGTGGGGTGGGCTTTCCCCCCACTTCCCCTGTCTGGTGGGGGTAGGTGGGGCCTACGCTCCTCCCACTTCCCCTGTCTGTGTGTGACCTTGGCCAAGTTACTTCCTGTCTGGAGCCCTAGTGCCTGCCCTGGAGGAGAACTGAACCTCCCAGGACAGGTGTATGAGGGGGAGTCTTGTGTGATGGAGATGTTCGGGGCACCCTAGTACTGGCAGTACTGAGCACTCAGCACCCCAGTACTGAGTGACAGAGTACTCAGTAGAACCATGCCCAGTCCTTTAACTAAACTCATTCCTCCCCCTCACAGCCTGTAGGAGGTGGGGCCTATCACGTCTTCCCTAAGTGAGGAGGGGAATCAGCTCTCTGGGTCCTGTGGAAGACGACTTCGGTGTGGGGGGGGGGAGGTTGAACCCAGGTCTGTGGTGTCAGACTCCAAACCTGAGCTGACTTATCATGGTATCAGCCAGTGGCCCTCCTCCGCCCCTTCGGGCCCCCAGGCTGGGCCAACTACACCATGCCATGAGGTAGGTGTTCCTCTGCTCCTGAACACACTGGTGGCAGGGAGGGCTGTGTGGAGGACCTCCACTGTGTCTCCATCCCCAGCCACAGGGTGTGACAGTGCAGCCAGGAATGTAAGTCAAATGGCTGTTTGTGCCTTGGGGAACCAGAAGGACCAGGTGGCCAGTAAAAGCAGCCCCTGGGGAAGCACACCAGGAAGGATCCAGATCTTTCCTTTCCTCACACTTCCTGCCCTTCAGTTGCAGCTTCCTCTTCTGATCTGAGCAGAGAGCAGAGATGGGGCTAGAGGGGGGAAACTGAGGCCAGCAGGAGCTGTTCTAACCTCACTTCTTGGTTGTCTACTAGTTCTGGCATCTCTGCCTTTTCTAGTCAACCTGTATTCGCTTTTGATTGAGGTTCTGGAGGCTGAGCCCAATACCCTGAGCAAGCCGCCTGGTCCTCACCTCAAGCCTTTGGGCCCTATTTATCTCCCTTTCTGCCTCTTCCTGTGTACAGCCTGCCTGTCCATCTCTTTCCCACAGCGTCCTCCTCTGTCAGTCTGTATCTTTTTTAAAATAGCACTGTGGATTCCACCAAGGGCCTTGAGAAAGCTGGGCAGACAAGCATTCTATCTCTAAGCCACACTCCAGCCCCTCACTGGGGGATTCTAGGCAGGGCTCTACCACTGAGCCACACCCCAGGCCCTCACTGGGGGATTCTAGGCAGGGGCTCTACCTCTGAGCCACACCCCAGCCCCTCACTGGGGGATTATATGTATAATCAGTTTTCTGTTTCTTCTTTATGGACCTAGGAGATTGACCTTGAGTCCTCAGTTCGGTGTCTGGCACCCCCTTTTTTTTTTTTTTTTTTTTTAATCGGCCGAGCCACCTCTCTGGGTCATGCTTTGTTCTTCTGTCTTTTCTCACTTTTCTCCATTTGGTATCTTCTGACTGTGTGTCACGCTCTGTCTGGGTTTATGGGAGTATTTCTGTCCCCATCTCTCCGTCTGTGTATGTTCTTCCTCACATGCTTGTCACAGGACCACTAGGAGAATGTGACTGGCCCTCTGCTCTCTCTCCTGGCAGCGAAACGGTCATCTGTTCCAGCCGGGCCACTGTGATGCTATATGATGATGGCAATAAGCGATGGCTGCCTGCTGGCCCTGGTCCCCAGGCTTTCAGCCGCGTCCAGATCTACCACAACCCCACTGCAAACTCCTTTCGAGTTGTTGGCCGCAAGCTGCAGCCAGACCAGCAGGTGAGGGCTCCCTCTGTCCTGTCTCCTGTCCCCGTCTCCCTGCCACCCAGCACTTGTCACCCTCCACCAACCTGTTCCCTCTTGTAGGTGGTTATCAACTGTGCCATCATCCGGGGTGTCAAGTACAATCAGGCCACTCCCATCTTCCATCAGTGGCGCGATGCCCGCCAGGTCTGGGGCCTCAACTTCGGAAGCAAGGAGGACGCAGCACAGTTTGCAGCCGGCATGGCCAGTGCCCTAGAAGCCTTGGAAGGTTAGATGAGCAGGTGGAATGGTGTTGGGGCTCACTTGGGAGGCTGAGGCAGGAGGATTGTAGCAAGGATGACATAGCAAGACCCTGTCACAGATGAATAAATACATAAAATCAGACTGGGACCAGCAGTCTGTAGGTAGAGAGCTGAACTAGGCCTGGTGGCACATGCCTGTCACTAAGCCCTAAGCCAGTGGAGACGGGAGGATGGGGAGATGAAGGCCATCCTCAGCTACCCAACAAGGCGGAGACTAGCCTGAGCTACGTAAGATTCTATCTTTAAAAAGAAGTATGTGTGTATATGTGCAGTGTGTACACGTTTTGGGGGGCTGGAGAGATCCCTCAGTGTTAAGAGCATTTCTGCTCTTCCACATTTCTTCTGGGTTTGATTCTCTGCACCCATGTGGTGAATGGCTCACAGTCCCTGAGGATCTGACACCTTCTGGCCTTTGTGGGGACTCGTGGGCAAAGCACCCATACACATAATGTTTTTAAATGGGGATCGGGGTGAGCAGAGGGGACCCCTCAGCAGTGCAGTGCAGCCTGAAGCTGCTATCCTCCCCTTTGGGGCTTGGGTCTACCTATCTAAGTCAGCTAACCCACGGATAGCATGGAAACTCCCGTGAGAATTGTCCATGCCGGGGTGTATGCCGAGGTGAGATAGCATGTTCGCTATGATCGTGTGCTGGACCAACATGTCTGTCTGTCCAGCCTCCACTGTGCTTCCTGTGTTGGTCACAGTGGCACATACTTGTAATACGAGCCTTTGAGAAGGTGGGGCGTGGGAGGATGGAGAGTTCTGGACCAGCCTGGGTTACATAGCCAGATTTGATGTATAGCAAAGGCTCCATGATACAGGCTTGCCCCGTGTATGCCAGGCCCTAGCATGAAATAACGTCTTCCTGTGCTATTTCTACTTCTTTAAAAGTTTTAAATTACATTTATCCATTTAGTGTGTGCACACTGGGAGCTGGTGTTTGTGCGGAAGTGAGGACACTTGGTGGGCGTCTGTTCTCTCCTTCCACCTCGTGGACGCAGGGACTGAGCTTGGGCCTTCAGGCTCAGCCGCAGCTGCCTTAACCCCCATAGGAGTCTTTTTTTTTTTTTTTTTTTTGAGGCAGGGGTTTTCTACATAGTCTTGGCCAGCTTCAGCCTCTGCCTCCCAAGTACTGAGAACAGGGGCCTTGGACTCACTAAGCAGGGGCTCTACCACTGAGCCACACCCCCAACCCCTCACAGGGGGATTCTAGGCAGGGGCTCCACCACTGAGTCACACCCTTAGCCCCCTCAGACAGCCATTTCAAGGTTGTGTCCTAGGCGGGCACTCTGCTTTCTGTAGAATGAAAACTGCCCAGCAGCTGAGGCGTTGGCTTCCCAGGGCCTACTCAGTGCTAATGACCCACTCACTCACTGTGTGTGCGTGGAGAAAGGGGAGATGCAGTCGGTAGTGCAGGCCTGTGTTCGGTTCCTCGGGCTGCAAAAGTGATCATTCCTGCAGATTTCCAACCCGCACGGCTTAATGACTAGTGTGGCACCTCTGTGTCCCTTGGGTGTCAACAGCACCCACCTGACAGCAGCTCAGGCCCAGGAAGGCTGCTCCTTGCTGTCTCTCCTGCATGCTGCCCGCTATGGAGGGACAGAGACAGGGAGGGTGGAGTTTCTTCTCACTGTGCCATTTCCCTTCACCTTCTAGGAGGTGGGCCTCCCCCGGCCCCAGCACCCCCTGCCTGGTCTGCGCAGAATGGCCCCTCCCCAGAGGAGGTGGAACAACAGAAAAGGTGGGGACCCTCCCTTTAGGATGTCCCATAGCTCCCCAGGTTGAGAATCCTGCACTTTGCTTTCTAGAAAAGTCTAACGCCCAAGAGTCTAGAAGCATGCAGCACTCAGACACCACTCCCCAAGCTCTCGGAGTTCAGTAAACATACTGCAAAGCTGGGCCTGATGCCAGTGCACAGGATGCTGAGGCAGGAGGATTGCCAAGAGTTTGAGGCTAGCCTGTGTTACATAATGAATTCAGCCTGAGACCCTGTTATAGTAAACCCCTTGCCTGAAATGCTGGAGAATGCCTTTAATTCTAAGCATTTGAAGGGCAGAGGCAGGCCGGTCGGCAAGTCAGACTCCACACTGGCCTACAGAGTGCATTCCAGGCTAGCCAAGGCTACCCAGTGAGACCCTGTCTCAGTAGAAAAAAGAAAAACTGCTACCCCCGCATCCAAGAATCTGATAAGCGAATGCACCATTCTGGTGCCCCCGACTCCACACTGGGGTTCCACAGCTTTCTGAAACCTTTGGCCACTTTGTAATCAGCTGGAAAGAATGCCTGCACCCAGGCCCCACTGGTGCCTCCTGCTTCCCGTTCTCATCCTTCCTTCCCTGGGCCCTCGGAAGACATATGTAGGAGGCAGGCACTGGCCTTGCTGGTGACCTACCTCTCAGCGAGGAACCAGAGGCTCTGGCCCCGTGACTAGCCTGGCCTGGGCGCTGAAGGAAGCTTCTTTTCCCTTGCACAGGCAACCTGAGCACATGGAGCGCCGCGTCTCCAATGCAGGTGATGACTCAGCCGCTGGGTCGTGGGGGCCTCCCTGGAGGACCTGGTTGGGCAGGATGGACAAAGAAGAAGGCTTCTCTCTCCGAAATGCTGTTGTGTATTTATTGCAGGAGCCCCACCTACTCCCCAAGCTGGGGGTCCACCTCCACCTCCAGGACCTCCCCCGCCTCCGGGTCCTCCTCCACCCCCGGGTCTGCCCCCCTCAGGGGTATCTGCTGGAGGTCATGGAGCAGGAGGAGCCCCACCCCCTGCACCCCCACTCCCTACAGCTCAGGGCCCCAGTGGTGGGGGTTCCGGAGCCACGGGCCTAGCTGCTGCCATTGCTGGAGCCAAACTCAGGAAAGTAAGCAAGGTGAGCCGCTGGGAGTGCTGGGAGTTGAAGCCCTGAGGGGACAATGGGCAGTAGTCAGAGTCCCCTAAAAGGTGTCACAAGAGAGCTGGGATGTGACCTGGCCTGCCTTTGAAGCCCTCTCCCCCTTTTCATTCCTACAGCAGGAGGAGGCCTCTGGGGGGCCCTTGGCCCCCAAAGCTGAGAGTAGTCGAAGCACTGGCGGGCTTATGGAAGAGATGAACGCCATGCTGGCCCGGAGGTGAGCCTGGGTTCCTCAGAAGAACCGTGACAGTTTTGGGGTGCTGATGGTACCCCTCCCTCTCATGGGTAGCCCATGCAGAACCCCATCCTCCCTCTGCCTCTCAGGCTTGAGTTCTAGGATGGCCCAGCTGTACCTGGCTTCTTTGTTTCTTTGGGGGGTAGTTCTGCCTGCCTATGACAGCCATGTCTGGGACACAGTGCTGGAGACTCCCCCTCAGAGGTGGCTCACAAGTCCTTGACACTCAGTGCTACAACCCTAGGCGATTCCCCTTAAATGTTCCAGAAGCTTGGGTTCTTAAGAATCTCAGCTTGCTGATCTAGAAACCTTCTCAGCCGTACAGTTCTTACGATTTCCAGACATGAGAAGTATGGGAAACCCCTCCAAATTCTAGAGGAACAGTCTGTAAGCTGAGTATTTTTATATATAAAAAAAGTTAGGGGCTGGCGAGATGGCTCAGCAGTTAAGAGCATTGCCTGCTCTTCCGAAGGTCCTGAGTTCAATTCCCAGCAACCACATGGTGGCTCACAACCATCTGTAATGAGATCTGGTGCCCTCTTCTGGCCTGCAGGCTTAATAAATAAATAAATTTTTTTTAAAAAAAAAGTTATTTATTTATTTTTATTTAACATGCATTGGTGTTTTGCCATGGGTATCAGGTCCCCTGGAACTGGAATTACA